AAAGTACTTATCTGTACCACATTTGACCCTCTGTACACCGGGACGGATGCCCCAAAACTGTTGCCTTGATGATACTATTGTTCACTGACCAGGTAGCCTGTGGTGAAAGAGGGCATCAGGTAGAAATACCTTCTTACTTATGGCAGTAGTATTGTATGACTCCCCTTCTCACAACACAGAAAAGAGAGTGAGAGTGAAAGTAAGAGAAAAAGAACAAGAAGACAGAACAGAAGGAGTGAGCAATAGAAAGGAATATAACAAATTGTTAACGGTCTGTGAATTTTTTGAAAGGAATTCAGTTCACTGTACTTGTCTCTTTTCCTCTCTGAATCATCAGAAAGTGAGATACACATTTAGCATGTATCTCCTTCCTAAGGAAGGATAAAGAATTGTTCTAATTACCACAATATTATGCACAGGGTTTTGAAAGCTGCCATCTTTTTTGGAAGCACATTGCCACATCTTTCTACCACAGAGGTGCTGCTGGGTTTGAACTATCACTTAGTAGCCAAACACTCAAAAACTATGCCACTGGGCTCATTATATGATAGCCTTGACGTGCTCCATCAATCTTTGAGCACTGCCTTGTTTTCTGAAATAACAAGAAAGTCCCTGCCTTTTTTTTTTAGAAGCCCTGGTTCCTTTCAGCGAGCAGTGATGTTTAAAAGGAAGTTAAAATGTGCTCTCTGTATGTTTTTGTTTCCTTAAGTTCTAAACTTGAACCTATAATGATAATTTCCTTCTCTTTATGGAGGATATAGAGTTTCTTTGTTTTGTTTTCTTTGAGGTTTTTTTATTTGTGGTTTGTTTTTTCTTTGTTTGTTTGTTTTTTCAGTTTGACGAAGTATTTTTAGAAACAAGGGACCAGTTGCAGAACTTACAGAATGGTGAGTTTGAAAATGCAGTAACTATCTTTAGTAATGATTAAAAACAAGACAAAACTCCTTGAGATTTATATGGAAAGGCAAAGGTGTTGTTGGCACTAAACGTTCCGAATAGTGTCCTAAAACCAGAAAACCCAGTAGCAGTAATTACTAAAGTTGCCATGAAATTTTGCTTCCTCTCTAATTAAGAACCTGACAGTGGTAATTCAGGGGCGGAATGCTCCTCTCCTGTGTGGGGAAATTTCTGTCACTTGCTATGCATCTAAGAGCTCGGCAGTAAATAAAGATGACAGTAGAAGAATTGATGCCTTTGAGCTGTGGTGTTGGAGAAAGAGTACTGAATATCCCATGCACTGCTGAAAGAGCAAACAGATATGTCTTGGAGAAGGTGCAACCAGAGTGCTCCTTGGAGGCAAAGATGATAAAGCTTTATCTCACATACTTTGGACATGTTGCTAGGAGAGTCTGTTCCTTGGAAAGTACATCATGCATGGAAAAATGGCAGGTCAGTGAAGAAGAGGAAGGCCTCCAACGAGGTGAATTGACATGGTGATTTCAGTAATGAACCCTAGTGTGTCAGAGACGATGAGGATGGCACAGGATAGCGCAGGGTTCAGGTCAACTGTTCCCAGGGTCACTATGAGTGACACTCGACTCGACGGCTACCACCAGCAGCCTTTGGTTTAAGAGTGCAACACCCTTCTCCTTAGGCCACCATACTGTCTCTCCACCTCTGAGCTTCTTGAAGCTGTCTTTCTCTTATTTCCTTCTTCCCATGTGGAAAGGGTTCAATGCAAATTTGTTGAAGAAATTAACAGGTCCCCTTCTGAACAGTGACAGCAAACTTGTGTAGAAAGTAATCTGTAACTGTGGAACAGAACACACCTAACAAGTGTCCGTACGATGAGCTGGTAAGGTGATTTCAGTATCACAGGCTCTTCTGAAGTCTCTAGTCCAACAGAACATTCCACAGTGCTAGGAATGTTCCGTTAAGCCTGCTCCTCTGTGGTTGTCAATGACCAGATGCAGCTGCTAAGCACTTGAAATAACTCTAGCTTGAGTGAGGGACTGGTTTGAAAATTCTGTTTAATTTAATTCTGTAGAATTTGAATCGATACATCTGAATAGATACAATAGAATTTGAATACATATGAATAGATACAATAGACTAGGGGTT